GTTACCGCGTTGGGGATAATGCCGATGCAGGCGACAGTCATGGGGCGGTTGACGAGGTTGCTGATGGTCTGGATGTAGTCGACGAGAACGCGAACGATGATAAGGTTTACCGGTGGTGGTGGTGGTTGTGGTGTAAGTATACTGGGAATGGCCGCGAGCCACGTCCCTTGATCCGAGCGCTTCCTCGTCGACATTTACTCGTCTTGCTCTTCCTTCCGAAACAGGTACGCGGACCAGTACGCGAGATTGAAGAAAGCGAATACGATGGGGAAGAAGATCCGTGAGATGACGTCGATGCGCTTGGACCTCGTCGGGAACTTGGACAGCCACGACCTGCAGCAGTTTTTTTTTCGTGGTTGCATATGTAATTCGCAGTGCTCCATCCTATCCATCGACATAGTGTCCTCCGGTTGTCGAACCAGAGGTTTCTGGAAAAATTACCACCACGTCCAGGCATTAGTCGCGCGTTACTTCTTTCATATCTAATTTCGTTTCTTTTCTTTTTCTATCTTGCTTACGGTAGGCGATAATTTTCAGTGTATGTAATATGTACTGTAAATAGACAGAGACGATCTACTAGTTGTTTTACAGCGATTCGTTGATACATTAAGTGGCCAATTCTTAACGTACGAGGCGTCCAATTTTCTTCCATCTATTTTAAAAATCTTTCATTCTCCGGAGAATCTTTTATGTTTGTAGATGTATCGTTATATCTGAGAATTCGATTTCTCCTTTTTAAGATTTACGTATGTGAATGTTCTTCTTCTACACGGATAGTATCTATATATGCGAGACGACTGTTTATTATATAATATTTTATATTATATAATAAAATATATTAATTAGAATTATTTGTTATATCTGTTATGATATATTAATATCGTATGATATTTTCCATCGCGCTAACGAGCCGCTGTATTTGTGTAAGAATAGTGGAAAAATCGTATTTGATGGATGGAACATTTAACACGAAAAGCTAACTGCGATGCGAGTTTTTGTAAAAGTGTTGGTGATTTTCTTCCGTACTTTCCTCTCAACTTACACGTACATGCACTTGAACTGTTCGATCTTCATGGAATATCTCGCGATGAAACGTCGGTAAAAGAGATCAGGAGAACGACGTAACTTAACGAGCAGAAAATATTTCATTTATGGATTCGTTTTCTCATCGAACGATCTAAGATTGTATAAGTATCATGCAGTATGGTAATTCTGGTGGTGCCAAAAATGGTCTACACACACATCCAGCTTTGATCAACGATAATTGAAAAAGTTCGTCTGTATGGAAATGTTGGATACGTGTAAAATCGTAATAAGTTTATGCATATTCATTCTCGTTTCTTAAATAAACTACCAGGTTTACATCCTCCTTTTATTTTTACGAGTGTAGAAAAGTATCTGTCTCTTGTAGAATGGATAAGAAATTTACTACGAAATGTAGGATATTCTTTTCTATCTATAATAGCAGGCATTTGTTATAAAAATATAACGTTCATTACCAGTAAACTATAGCGCATTGTTATTATCTCTAGAATGATTAATTATTTAGCAAAATGTCGAAAGTCATATTGCCGAACGTAAAAGTCAAGTTATAATATAATGTACTAGACTTTAAAGGGATTATTTACCTGTAGAGAATGTTGAAGTGGTCCATCATATCCGGTCTAGCAGTTTATAATAATAAAAGTAAAATAATAGAATGAATGTACGTTATGATAGCTAGATTCAGAATTTTTTTTTTCAATGTTATACGCTTCAGGCAACTATATTGTTAAGAAGAAAAAAAGAAAAGACAAAAAAAAAAAGAAAGATATCGATATCTTACGATTAACGCTCTATGCTTTATAAAATATCTTGCGAATAGCTAATAAAGTCTAGAATAATTACTAAAGGAACGAAAAGAAGCTTGAAACTGAAGAGTTTCTCGGTTTTTCTAACGTTTCCCGATGATTTTCATATCATCGAAATAACCGAAAACTCAGTTTTTTTTTTTTTTTTTATCACTGACCAAAGATGAATGTTGCCAGGAGATCTTTTTTTTTCTCTTATTTTACGATTGCGCTATGCTATAGAAAATCATAATTAGGGTTAGAGGTGGTGTTACAGCGAACTGGACGGAAATAAGAGAGAATAGAAAAGAAAGGAGACCCAACGAAATTCCAATCCACAACAGCACGTACAATTATATAAAGACAGAGGTCGAAAGAAAAATCGCATTTAAAATATACTCTGGTCGAGAAGCTCGTCTTTGAACGATAAAAAAAGCTATGGCAAAGGCAATGACGCAATGTAGGACTCAATTATAAATTACCAATTATTTTCAGCTGGTTTAAAATCAAAATTACAATTATATTACGAACGAATCAAGGTGTGTCGGTAATATAGGATTCTACATATCAGACATTTACATATCATAAAGAAGGAAAAAGGAAGACACAGAACACCGAAGATACGATAAACAGCATTATGCCTCGATCGAATAAACGAGAAAGGAAAAGGAAGGTAAAGAAAGATATGGCATAGAGAAGCGCTTAAGATTTAATTGAACATTAAACAGCTTTTAATATCGTTGTATACTGACCATAGCGAAATTTGACGAATTATCTGGTTCGACTTGATCAGAGGGTAAATCCATCGACGTGGATTGTTCGGTTTCAGACGGTGGATACTTTTTCTCTATGTTATCGCTGTGCATATCGCTCCGCGACGCGTAATTTACTAGGGCAAATTCGAGGAGAGCGCCGAATACGAAAGTCAAGCATACGCCTGTCCAAATATCGATAGCCTTTGTATAAGAGACCGGTGGCAGTGAGGCATTTATTCCTGACGTCTGCGTAGCCATCGTCAACAAGGTAGTAACACCTGGTTTTAACGATAATTCACGAGAGTTTATTTATGATAAAGCGAGTTGATATTAAATCAACGACTCTAATTTAAGCCATTAAGGGCCAACATCGCGTCAACGCAACGAAATACAAGGAAATTAAATGTAATTGTAACATTATGACAAATCATTGGTTGGTCCTTAATGAATTAATTAATGACTCTGTATAGTTACGAGTTACAAACAAGGAATATTTTCACTGCTGAATGGAATTAATTGCACCTTGGAAAGTTTCATTTTTACCTTTTTCCTATAATATAGGATCTAAAGATACACTTCTTTCACTCTGATGCCATTTATACTATGAATATCGGATGGTTTTCATATTTTTATTGCAAGCGAAGTACAGCGGATACAAAAAGTATTGGTACGCCGTTGTATTTATTACAACACTTACATGGTAATTAATCAGGTCCAAGTGTATCAAGTCTATCATCGATACTATGGAAATAAAGTATAGAAGTTGATGAAAAAACGATTCATTGATGAAATAAGGATATTGCCAATACCTTTTGCTAAGTACTAGTCGCTATACTTCACCGTACAAGAACTACTTTTATTTGTGAGTTCGTCACTATACAGAGCATCATAAAAGAAAAGTGTAAAAGTTTGTGAGCTTATAGCATTCACTAGGAGCAGTAAAATATGAAAGAATAGTAGAATGAAAGAAAATGCAAGGATATCTTAAAATCTGTTAGTATGGCACAAATAAAGTAGTTGAATGTAGTGGTGGATGGATAAAATGAACTGCTGATTTCAATTGAAACGTTACCAAGTGAAACTCGAGCTGGTACAGCACTTTGATCGAGCCAGAACGATACCCAGGATACAATTACAAGCATACAGCAGGGGATGTAGATTTGAATAAGATAGTAACTGAATTCTCTCTTGAACAGCAAGTCAACTTTCAGGCAGCTGTATTCTCCTGCAAATCGACCGAATATTTAATTAGACTTTATACGTATATTTTAGCAACCCATTTCTTGAATAACGGAGATGAAATAAGAAAGGAAAGAAGGAAGGTAATTTACTGACCAGTATTCGTCTTGCTATTACAATAATCGGTATAAAATTTCTCCAACGTGAACCGAGGCAGGTGTAGGTTTTTAACAACTTGGACAGGATCTCCTTCTTTCCACAGGAAAACCAAATCATCGGTTGTCCAACCATCTGGAAAACGAATATCGATTAGTCAACTTTCAATGAAATTGATAACCAACTATAAATTTTTAAACAAACTTGTAAAAGGGAAGAAAGAGAAATTCAGTGATTTACAGTGGCATGTAAACGTTTCTGGGCAGGAAGATCTTTCGCTTTACGTTTCAAAATTTTATGGAATATTGTCTATAATAGTATTATAAATTGATACTTGTAAAATGTTATTATTTTTGTATTTTATAGAATTTGAAGTAATATATATGTATATATTACTCAACCATATAACAGCGTTAGTGTATATTGTACTATCTTTTACTTATACGCTTATATTCAATATTGAAGTGACTGCATAGTGTTAGATATTTTGAAGCTGTGTTTTTTAGCAAAGCAGATATCAAAGCAAAGTTTAGCTTTTTTAGCAAAGAATAGCAAAGTAGATATCTGATGGTGTAGTGCTAGTAAAGTTTCATTCTGGCTGGAAATTTTTGCACGCCACTGTAACTGGTAATATTAATCTTAATTGCTCAAAGTCTGGTACTCACAACTTGCCATACGCAACGAGCAAACTTGTCGATCCAAGGGGTATAATTTTAAATTCATCGGGCATGATAATGTTAGGGATATTCTGAAACATAAGAATATTTTCAGACTATAGGAAACAGCAAATAGAAATTCATTCTTTAAATACATTAATTCTAATTTACCGTATACTGTATAGAACGAAACCATTGGGAAAAATACGAATGTACACATTCGGCATAATAATGTTGTGAAAATGTCCTTCTTTCTCGTTCGAAAAGAACAGATCTGGCATCCAAACGCGACTTGCATCCGTCAATGTCAAATATTTTAGACGACCTGCAATTTTATGACGAAACACATATCATGAGATTCAGCTGTAAAATATACCGGACAATAAAGTCAATGATTCTTCATACCTTTAAAATCACTAAATCTTAATCGTTCATCCAGCCATTGTTCCCGGAATGTTAACTGTACAGAGTACTCCTGCAGAGGAAAGAAACGGGAATGATTTAATCGAGCGAACTCTTGCTCGCATCAAACTCAATAGCAAATATGTAATTTATGCTCGAAATGATCGTTTGGAATTTCTATAATGACGAAACGGACATATGGAAAGTTCGTTTGTAAATCGAAGTGACAAACGGAACAGCTACAGAAATTTCAAAGCAGTCGTCAGAAGGAAGATACTTTGTATGTTAAAAGTTGATTGAAAATGTTGCACTAATATTGCGAATTAATTTTATTCGATCAGTACTTGGTTATACAGGGTGGTTGGTAACTGGCGGTACAAGCGGAAAGGGGTGATTCTACGTGAAAAAAGAAGTTGAAAATATAGAATAAAAATTTTTTTTTAATTTTTTTTTAATTTTTCCATCGAGACAACGATCTACAGTGAGATCCGTTATAACGAGACGCGATAAAGTGCACGCGTACCGAGCGAAAATTCAAAGTCGATTTTCACGAAAACAAAGCCTCAAATGAAAAATGTTTATTCTATATTTTCGACTTCTTTTTTCGCGTAGAATCGCCCCCTTTCCGCTCGTACCACCAGTTACCAACCACCCTGTATATTTCGAATTATTCCTTGGGACGTCAGCTTCGAAACTCCTGCGCTCCTCCCTAATCGTGAAATCAATCTACGGAAAACAAACAGGGTGAAATCAATGGAATCGATACAGCGATAAAAAACAAATTTTTGTACACAATTAATTAATTGGAAGAACAAACACATATGTAACGTAGAATTGTCATAATTCGACAGGAAAATAATTGTTATCATTTCGTCGTGCAATATCACCGAGTCTATGAGCAATTGCTTCGAGTGCTCGACGATTGTTTTACTGACCTGGTTGACGTTATGAAAAAAAGCAAGCGAAATACTATGGTAATAGAGTGGCGAGCCAAACTGTGATACTTTCCATTTTGAATTCCACAATTATCGTATCACATTCATTCGAAATCGCCTTCCATCCGTTTTTAAACAAAGTACTTGTAACTGGTGGATAATGTCCAATTTTTTTAAGCAGATCATTTAAGAGAAAAGAAATAAGCTAAATCTTTCTAAATATGGAATTTGTCTGACGCGTGAGTAATGTTCGCACATCTGGCATTGTTACGTTGAAGACGAAAAGAAACGGTCTGAGACTTCAAAGAAGAAACGAGAGGACAGCGAGCTGCATCAATAAACGTGAACGAGGTCAGTAATTGCGTAACATCAGCACCTTAAAGTCACCGAAAGATCTTCTAAAAATGACATTTTCAAAGTAGCCATCGTTGAAACTTAACGAAAACCGTACAAACGATACTAATAATCCGCTGGATACTAAAAGGTTCAAATATCCTTGCAGACTCGATCAGCGGCAAATCCGATCGACTGCGGCGACGAATAAATATACAAATTACAAACTCATAAGGGAGAAAGGAACAAGATACGAAAAAAAATGGAGATAAAATGTCACTATATATATATATATATAGAACAAAGGAACTAGAGACACCCTTGTATCTCGAATAATTTCATCAACGATGTTTCGAACATCCTGCCTACTGTATATCTCGTATATCAGCCGAATCGAACGAAAGTATCGTGTTCTAAAATATTTCGTTCGACTCTTGTAACGCTCCGTGAAAAAGAAGAACAAAACAGTCGATTGGAAATTCGATTTTTCGTTACCACTGTGTCGCTATGTCTCCTCGCGTGTCTTTTCAACGACACGTCTAATTTGAAAACTGTTCGTCCTTTGTTTCCAGGCCGGAAGCGTAAGGGCCCGCGAAAGGCGTTCTCTCGCGGGGAAAGAACAGGGCGAAGAAGAAGAGGAAGCGAAAAAAGAGGCGGAACAAGAAAAAAGATTAACCCTGTACGGTTTTAGAGGTCGTTTCAACGGCAGAGAGCACTTCTGCTCCGACGACGAAAGGTCGTGGTAAATTTTCCTCTTTCTCCGCCCTCTCCTTCCTCTCTGCTACACTTCTTCTTCTTTTTTTGGCCACGGAGCGTTAAAGAATCAAGGCTGCGTGGATATCTTGCTGGAATGAAAAATCTCGTCGCCGAGAAAAATGGGGTAAAGAGGGGGTTGGGCCAAAGGCGGTGGTGGACGAACAAACAATGATGTTCAAGTATAGTTGTATACATCGCGTTGAAGCAAATGTAAGAGGCATGCAACGAAGCAACATCGAAACTAACTACGTAACTACCAGTGGGACCAGCTAGAAACAGAGAGTAACTACATATGCTATGTAATACATATACGTATATATATATATATATATGTCTCTGTCTCGAAATTATTGATAGAATAGAGGAATATATATGTATGTATATATATATATATAGACGTATATGTACGTGTTTGTATTATATGTACATTGCAAGTGAACAACGCATGCATCTTGGCTCACAGTTTAACTTTTTCCCGGCTGGACCTGTCCACGTCGACGGCGTCCTGTCTTTCTTTTCTATTTTTTTTTTTTTTTTTTTTTTTTTTTTTTTTTTTTTTTT